AGAATTCTTATATCGGGATATGAGATTTTGGTCATATCGCACAGCCCTAACTGAGGCTACAGTTCACACACCAAAACAGGACAACAAAAAGGAAAGACAATACTGGATCTGATAAATCTAAATTTCGGCAGTGAGATTTGGATAGTATGGTCAACTTTGACATTTGTGTCATGTCTCAAATCTCAAATGATCTCAAACTGGTTTCTTGAACATGAAAATGAGTTCACTATCCACCAATGACTCATTGCTATCCACCAATGGCCCTCTCAGTCACCAGATCTCAAACCAATGAAGCACCTTCGGGATGTGGTGGAATGGAAGCGTCGCATCATAAATGTGCAGCTGACAAATCTACAGCAACTGTGTAATGCGATCGTGTCAACACGGACCAAAAACCTCTGAGGAATGTTTCCAGCACCTTATTGAATCTGAACATTGCCCGGGACTAGCAAGGTGTGGCTAACAGAGTGGCCAGCAAGTGTACATTTCTGTTTAACTGTAAAAATCAATACTTTTTTTCAAGTATTAACTACCAGGTATGGTGGGTAATTAAAACAGCAAGTATAAAGCCAAAACATTTCACAAGCATGCAAGTCAGTGCAGATCTTATTGCAAAATAAAAATATGCAAAAATATGCATCTAATTGTTGTCTGTTCTTTCACAATTATAGTGCTATTTTTTTACTTTTATTTATTGAAGAAAATAAAAAGTGAATGGGTTTCTCACACAGCGAGCCGTGAGGGGCATGCCATCTTTGTCTTTCTCATCTGGGTCCAGCATACCCATCAGGACTGACAGCTCCCTCTTGTCATCAGCAATGATGGGGAAAGGCAGGTCAGTATCAGCGTTTTTGCTAACAGCCATCACATCCTGTTCGGAGACAAGAGATAAAGTCAGCTTTTTAAATGGTTGTTAGTTCACATTTCATCCTCTGTTAATAATTGTGTCCCTCCTGGCAGCCATCTCTCCACTATTGCAGCACAGGTTTGATGAGTGATCACAGATCCTCGGCATGTAATCTTTAACTACTGGATAAGGAACAGCAGCATGTTTTATAAAGGCCATAAGTATATTCGCCTGTAGTACTATCATTGTTAATTTGAAGAATAAACGTGGTAGAAGAAGAAGTAGAAGTAGAAGAAGAAAAAGAATCCATAATAGTTTAACTTTCTTTGACAAACAAAATACATTAAAAATAGTTTACATTGGTAAAAAAGTTTAAATGATATGTAGAATTATATATTTAAGTCAAAATTAAATCTGTATTTTTATAAAGTAAAAAGGTAAAACCACGGCTGGTGACCAAAGTGCTCTACTCTATTATACTCTATTATAAATACTTAATACTGCAGATTATTTTAAGTAGAAGATTTCACAGATTTAAAGAAAAAGAAAAAGCAGCACAGCTCTGATCCACTCAGAGAAACATTTTGTTGACTATTATAAAAGTTTGGTGCTTTTTGCTTGACCAGGATCAGCTATGATTCCTTACACTCAAAGTAATGTACAAATAACAGCTGCAGTAAAGTCCACATTAAAAAAGTGTGATAACAATAATAATAATATACACTACAACAGAAACAAGAAAAACAAGAAAGAGACAATAATTAAGTAAGTAATCATTATAATAAACATTATTTCTTCCTCAGTGTATTTTACACTTAATATCATTTTCATACTTTAGTTCCAGTTGAAGGTTGTAAATTTACTTTCATATTCCTTCTTTCTTGCCATGCAAAACTATTTCATTACACCCCTTGCTGGTTTTGAAAATAACTACCATTTAGTGCTTCTGATGAGGTGCATGTTTCTATATACTATTTGCAGCACTTAACCTACTGTATGTGCTTCTTACTGGAAACTTAACTCGAGTTGGGACTTGAAGGCTAAATTACTTAATCACTCTTAGACCAGACATGTAGGAGCACTAAAGTTAAGATAAACAGGGTTTTTTTTCTCCCAACGGAGCAGACAGAACCAGATCTTCCCAGGCCACGGACATTAGACAATTATTATCTCTGGAAATGTGAAGAAATTAAGCTTAGGATAGATTGTATAACCTGATAATACCAGGTTGAGTTTGAAGATAATGGTCAATATCTCAATAATATGTACTTTTCAGCAAGGGTGTCCTGAAGAACTTAAAGGGAAAAAAAAGTTCTTATACAGTTTGTGCTTGTGCATTCCTAACCTTGCTCCAGCTGTTGTGATCAGCAACACTGTCAATGGACAAGGCAATCATCTTTACGCCTCGTTTCTTGAACTCATTGCTGATCTTGGCAGCACGGGCGAGCTCAGTGGTGCATACAGGAGTGAAGTCCCTCGGGTGGGAGAACAGGATACCCCATCTGCAGGGGAAAAGAGACATTGTTCCAACTCAACAAGGCCTCTGTTTGGAGCATCAATTAAAAGTAAAAATAAAATGTTAAAATAAAAAGTTCCGATGTGTTCGATCATCTTTATAACAGTCATCGTGTGCAATTCAAATCTTTATAGACAGGGTGTGTTACAAATAACAAGTCACAAGTTCATGGTAACCACAAGCTGAAGAGACTTGTAAAACAATAAGCAAGTTTTCATGCTTTCACCACCTTGTGCTTCCAACATGCTTTACAAACTGATACTGAGAAATATTCTGAAAGAAAAAGATAATTAAAGAGTAGGAGCCGAAATAAAAAAAAAAGAAAGAAAAAAAAAGGAGGATGAAATAGCAGAGAAAGGGGAACAAAAGGAGGAGAGTAATTTCCAAACACAGGCTAAAGCAACAGGCATCTGTGAGTATGACAGAGAGAACAAGACTTTAAATCTACTAAGGAGTTACCTGTTGGTCTTTTTAAAGTAGCTTTGGAATCATGTGAGTTTGGGGTCTGCCATGACTTGGATGGATTTGCCCTTCAGTCTGTTGTGACCCCTCATCACATGGTTTAGAAGCATTATGATCAGCTGATTATTGGGTGACTAAACCAGTTTGGGTTTTTTGTTTGCTTCTTTGATGTTTTTGGCTAAATATCCTACGACTACCAGGCTTCAAATGAGGCTGAACAAAGTTTGTTCACCTCTTGGGATTAGAATTTGAACTGGTAGGGGGGGAAAAAATCCAAATGAGGGGGGAAAGGCACAAGGAAATGCTTGAAACGGTTTGAACAGATGGCTGCCTCACACAGTCCAACATTTCCGAGGAGGGAAAAATAAGGAAGTTATTATGCAGTCACCAAAACTGGGTGGTGTTCTCAAGTTGATGAAAGCTGGAATTATCTGATCCAGTTATACTCTTGATAACGCAATGTGTGCCAAAACTTTAGGATAGCAGAATGACTGTTTTCATTCTTTTTTATTCCCAAATATTCTGCTTTCTCTGGCAAAAACTGCAAGGCATTTGATTTGTAGGGATATAAAACTGCATATAGGAGAAGCCTGAATTTTGAATGGTTTGCCATAAATCATTGCAAATTATTTTTTTGGGCATTTACAAATCAGCTAACAACTACATGTTTCAGTTTTTCCAAAAGGAAAAAAAACACCCCAGATATTTAAGTAGTGTTGAAAAGTGTTCCTGTTTAAAGCACATCGTTTTTTATGGGGAGGAGAGAAGAGTGGGGGAAAGAATACCCAAAGGACGTTGCATCATGTTATTGGGACACCTCACAGCAAAATGTGCATTTCCACATTTCACCTCGAGCTGTGTGTGGGGGTGTGTTAAATATTATACATGCACACAGTGCTCTTTTTTTCTCTGCTCTTTTAACCAATCGAGCCTATTATTGTTGGATGTTTGAAGGATGTGTGCACTGCCAAGTTCAACAATAGGCACACAACAAGGAGTGCAATTAAACCTCAGTGGAGAACAGACTAGAGGGAAAACAAACAGCCACGCACACAACCGTTTCACAGTTTACACCTCCAGTATCTAATGAACTGCTTCTTGTAGTCGATTTTATTGTCTAACAGTTTACCTGTTAACAGCGTGTAGTTAAGACTGTTAACTAAGTTTTTGTTTGTGTAGTTAACAAACTACAAGTGTCTCTAAACCAATAGGTCACGCTTGCGTAACGCCGTCTATGTCAGCCACCATAACTGGCGAGTTAGATCTGGGAAAAATCTGCTAAAGCTTTTAATCGAGAGGAATCGCGAAGGGATGGTAACTGACTGAGCACGCAATAAGCTGCACTGTTGCAGCATTATTACCAAAACCCACTTAAAACAAGTTACAGTGCGACGTCTGTATGCTGCAAGATGACACTCACGAGTTGCCCAGGAAGTCGTGAAACTTGATCCTGCCGATGCTGGTGTCGGCCTCGAAATTTGGGAATTCGTCTCCCAACAGAAGTCCAGGCATGCTCGACTCTCCTGTTCAGCTCAAACACCAGAGATAACGGACAGGAGCAAAATGCTGACCCCACTGCGCAATATGTCAATGGATCCGGATAGAGGCGGATCCATTCGGTCCCGCGTAGCTCACCGACCAACCAGAGAAGAGTCCTAAAACACGTGGGTTTTTTCCGACATCTTTCGACATTAACTATCGAAACAAACAGAGAATAACGACGCAAACGTATTAGAAAAAATAATTAAAAACTTTTCAAAAAATAATGTGCAAAGTGTAAGAAAGATATATTGCTAATGTAAAAACGAAGACCAAAATTAATAAATTAATTCATTAAAATATGGAGAACTCGTCATAAATTTTAGGCCTTGTCAGTTTGCTATAAAAAAATCCTTTTTATTGAAAATGAATTAAACGAACGTACTCTAAAAAAATAAATAGACTTAAAAACAAAAGATAAAAAAGATTGCAAATATTAAACCGTACTAACTCAGTTTTATAGAAATCAAATACATGCAAACTTAAAACTACTCAATTTTATACATGTATTTATTCAATTATTTGTTTATTTATTTTGAAAATACACAATTTCTACACAATTTTAGTCGCGATAACTTCGCTAAGGGAATAAAATAGTTTCGAAAACACAGCTTCCCAGGATACTTTGCGAGAAGAACAACAAATATGGCGTCACGGCTCATCTTTTCCTGGACGTGATAAGAATTGTGAAACGTACAACAGATGAGCTAAAGAAGCGACAACCGGGACAGCACTGCAGAAAATTTACCGCTGCTGTGCATCTACACTACACATACCCGTCTACGCCGGTGAGTCAACGGACACCATGCCCTCTCCTAAAGCGAAAAACCCCGGTCGCAGCGGAGGAAGCCCGGTGCTCGGGAGCTCCAACGGTCGCTACGAGTTCATGTCTCTGACAAAGCCGCTAAACCGGTCTTCACCGCCACACCTGCTCCAGCGCCAGGGCTCCGACCCGACCACGGCCCGCCTTCGAGCCTCTGAAAGCCCCACTCGGCGCCGGGGCTCCGGCTCCTCCACGGGCTCCGCGAGCGGTCAGGGGCCACCTGAAGAGGATGGTATCCGGCTCAACCCCTCCCTCATTCGCGTAGCGCTCAGCTCCCTGCTGGCCATCGACCTGTGGCTGTCCAAGCAGCTGGGAGTGTGTGCCTGTGAGGACTCATCCTGGGGCAGTGTGCGCCCCTTAATGAAGCTCTTAGAGATATCGGGACATGGTATCCCATGGCTGGCTGGTACCGCCTACTGTCTGTACAAGAGCGACAGTGCTGCAGGACAAGAAGTCATGCTCAACCTTTTCATGGGTAAAACTCTGCTTTTTGTGTTCTTTCATGTTGCTTCTTCTTCCAGCATCGTATGTAATCACAGATAAACCCCCTCTCAATACATATCAGTGCGCCACTGAGCTGGGTTTGGTGTCACAGCTCCTTGCTCCTTCCCGGTCCTGATTTGTCCTGCACAGTTCTTCTTTCATAATTTCTTCACTTAAGCAACAGAAGAGCTGATCCCACCTCTCTTAACGCGTCAGATAATGAGTATATAGGGTTATCTTTGTGTAATTGGTATTGGCTGGCTCTCACCTGTAGATGTCACCTGTTACACCTTTTGTGATGTTCCTTCACAGCTTGGAAAACTGGTAAAAGTATAAGATTATGTGAAATAGGTCTTAATCTGGAAAACTGGATAGCTATGTAAAATGTTGACTGAAGTGCCAAAGTGGTCTTCAGTACATTATACATTTATTGCTGTACGGTGGCAGTATTACCTCGGTAATATCATAGGAAAACAAACATGCAGAGTTTCAGAATGTTTAATGGGCTTCTAAGCTAAAAATATGAGTAATAGTTTCATATGAAATTGACCTATGACAAAGTGTGATGGACATTTTCTCTATTTTATGACCTGCTTTCCACTTTCAGATATTAAGGAGAAGTCAGAAACTGAATTAAGCTGCTGTTTAAGCTGGATCAGGCAGAAACTTTATGTTAAGGGGCATTAAATAACAGACTATTAAATAAGGGCTTCCCTAGTTAAACCTCATCTACCACAATAGAGAGATGTGCCCCAAGGGTATTGAATAAAGAGTTCAATATGTCCCCATAGTCTTTCATTTAATATTTACTTGCCAACCCTCCCAAATGCATAATGTTAGTGAGTAAGCACCAACTACTGTGGTTCATATCAGCATTAAATAAACACAAGGCTTTAAGAAGTATTACCTTAAGTAGTTTAGAGCAAGTAAGCATTGGTTTTGGTAAAATCCCAGCTCTTCATCAAAACATGTTTGGAACAAGACTCCCTCTTACACAGCACTCTGATGTGGGGGCTAAGTAGTGCACTTACTTCAAAAGAACAGCTTAAAAGGGAAGCAGCAAGCTGCTGTGTGATAATGCAAACCGTCTAAACCCTTTTCTCTCTATGGTTATTAACCTCAGGTCTTAAAAGCAGCAGATAATAATGTAACCACATAGTAGTTGTCAGTAATGATGGATGCAATGTGCATTTCTGTTTTCATTTTGCTGAAGCCCTTTCATTAGATTCGTAGAAGCGAATTGGCTTCATGCCACCTGAGTGTTGCATTAATTTTTCAGTGCTGCAGCCCAGGAGACCAAAAGCTTTTCATTCTCTCAATGCAGAAACACGACTTAAAAACTGCAGTCATTCCTGTAATCAATGCTGCTGTTGTATCTTTCCCTTTCATCATACTGTGAAATTCTTTGTGATATCATTGTGGTGCAAATAACAGTTAGGTTTTGGTTTTTGTTAATTTTATTTTATTTTTTTCAATAAGAAAACCCTGGTTCAAACAACAACAATCTTTACCAGATTGCAGATTATTGTAGGCCTTCTACAAGTCTAAAAATCTGCAAGTCAAGTTAACTTTTCACTTTTAATAGGAAAAAATAAAGGTTAACACAAAGTTTAATTCATCTGCTTAATCTTCAAGATCCTGGAGGATTTGCTGGCACTGAAATGGACTAAATAGTCAATGGTCTGGTTCTTACCTGGTGCTTTTCTACTCTACTTGATCACTGTAAACACTTCATACAACATGCTTCATTCACATTTGTTTGTTTGTTTTAATGTGGCTGTGTTGTTGTTGTTGTTTCATGCATTGTAGCATATCTCCATCTTCTTCCCCTGCAGGCCTGCTGCTGGACCTGATCTTGGTTGGCATTGTTAAGGCGGTGGTGCGTCGGCGTCGGCCAGCACATAATCGTATGGACATGTTCGCCACCTTTTCTGTGGACCGCTACTCCTTCCCCTCCGGACATGCCACGCGTGCCGCCATGTGTGGCCGCTTCCTGCTGGCTCACCTCGTGCTGGCTGCCCCGTTGAGAGTCCTCGTTCTGCTGTGGGTGGGCCTGGTAGGGTTGAGTCGAGTGATGCTGGGCAGGCACAATGTGACTGATGTGATGTTTGGGTTCTGGATGGGCTATTGCCAGTACAACCTTGTGGAAATGCTGTGGCTGTCCCCTCAAACACTGCAAGGGCTGCTGGGACAGTCAGCTTAAGGACTTAAGGAAATGGTAATTTATATTTGAGTAAAGGAGCACGTACACACCTTTTTCCCTTATAGTAATATATTCTCACTGAATTGAAAGCAGCACTATTTCTAAAGTTGGGATCATTTTAAAAATACATTTACTTTGTAACAAAACGATATTTGCTGAAGAGAAATATGAATAATGTTGTGGAGCATAAAGTTGTGTTAAAACAAAAATTGTTTTGTTATAAAATAAATGTTTTTATACATTCAAATAAATATTAAGAATACTTTTTACATCCCATAAGTGTTGTATTGGAGATTATGCTGACACTAGAGAGTAGATCTTTATCAAAAAAACCCCAAAAAAAACGAAGAGTTTTTCATGTTGTGTGACAACTAAGTCCACTACTAGCCCTCTTTCTGAGGTAGCTGCTAGCTCGTCTATAACAAGTAGCAGGTTAATCCCAACAGATTACAGGAGAACAGGTTTGACCATTTACCTTGAAGTTCTCTAACTCACTTATGACACTTCTGTAGCTTGATTCAAGGATACAATATAAAGTCTAAACTCAATTTTACATTCACAACACAGTTTAATGGGCTCTTACTTACTTTACACATCCACAAACTTTATAAGCAAGCTCAGTTCAGTCTTTACAAAATCTAGCAAAAAGTTTTTAAAAGTGAAACAGATGTGTTGAACACAATGTTATGCTACCACAACATTCCACCAGTGGCAGCTTATTCGCGTGCATCAAAAGAAGTGTACTTTAGAGTTGCTGCACAGCTTTAAACACTGTCTGAAAGTTTACAGTGAAATAAGTTGTTCAATCTGGAAACCATGGCAAAAACGTATTAAATAGTAGTATTTATTAAACATAATGGGAAAAACTGAATTAAAAATATCCAGAATGTAACTTGTTTTATAATTTATGAATCAGACATGCTGGGTTTTTGTTTTTTGTTTTTTAATGAAAGATTGTATAACTACTCTGTGAATAGTTTTTTTTTTTTTTTCACAATTCACATTTGCTTGCTGACATCAAATGAAAACTGCACATATAGCAAACTTGCTTACCTGTCTTCACCTGCCCCCCTCTAGCCTTTCTAGGAGCTAATCATGATATAAGCCCTAACATGTCCTCAAAGCTTTGTTCACAGAGCACAGAGGGCCTTTTTTCTTCTTTACGTGACTACTGATCAGATAAGAAGACATAACATTCTTTTAAGGAGGCACATCCAAACCCTCATAAAGATTAATTGCACCCCATATATTTGTCTGTTTCACTTTAACACTATCTCTCTTTCATTAATAGTCAACCAAAACTGTACATGTAACTGATAACTTATCAGCTCTGAAGGATTACATACACTTAACCGTAATGTTATCAGGTCGTCTACATATATCACTTGCAGAAATTTGCAAACGCAGTATAGTTGGCATATCAGAATTGTACAGTGTATTTGCTTAAAGAGACAATTCACCCAAAAATCAATTGGCTTAAGAGTTGTCTTCACTTAAATGGAATAAGACACTGCACATTTGTCTTTATTAGGCAGGAATGTATAATGCACACACTTGGGTCTTAAGTACTACAGGAGTATATACTGTATATAGACGTTTTCATTGTGAAATTTACTGAAAAACTAATGAAAAAAAGTAACTTGATTCACTTGAATGACTCACAGGTGTGCTATTTTAAATATATATAAAAGATTGTAAATATATTGCATGGTTAGGTTTTTTCATTCACATTTAAATGCTCTTGGACATTAAATACATAATCATATATGAAGGGGGAAAAAATAATGATCTGTAGTTTCATTAACCAATTTTTCAGTCTTGTTTTCTGGTTTTCTTTTAAGCCCTTTGCTGCATTAGAACTTTGCACAAAAAGTAAAAGTTTGGTTGATTATTTCTTTGTTGTAGCAATGCTTCTGGGCGATAAATCGTATACTGCTGGAGAGCCTGTTGTTTCCCCCTAAATGGTGCCACATTTGTAAGGGAAATGCATTTGTGGGTTGTGCAGCAGAGTTGAGTATTTGCGTTGCACCTATGAGAAACTTGCCAAATCTTCTCTGCCAATGCCAAACAGCTTATTCTGCTATTGATTCTTTGTTTTTGAGCTTCTGACTAGCAGCACCAGTGACCCTGCCAGTTAGTGCTCCAAACATGCTACGTTTGACTGATCTGGATAGGGCTCTTGCCAACTTCAAGAGCAACTTCAAGGGGATGTTGTCCAAAATAAAATTGCAGCATTATTTGGAGTGAGCTCTAATACCTTCTCCAAATTAAAGATCAAGTTCCATATAACGGATGAAGTCAGAAGTAGGCCATGAAGCGCATGTCACAAGAAGACAACACCACATGAAAACCATTTCCTCACCCTGTCAGAACCTCGAAACTGCAGGCTGTCTTCTACAGAGGACAAAATGCTGGACAATATCATGACTGCCCTTCACAGTAAGGCCCATTTGCATTGTTGGTGTGAGTAACATGTGCACTGAAACCTGAAAGTGTGGAGGAACATTCAGTAATGCGTCCAGATTCTGTCCACAGCAGTCAGATCGCCTGTTAAAGTATGGACTCACTACTTTTGAACATTGAACGGGGTCCTTCCAGAGTTTGGAAGTTGAGAAGATGGTGTTCGTTGATTTCCAATGAACACATATGGGATCAACTTGTGCGTGCTGTTTGTGCGAGAGTTACCAGCACAACCAGACTGGCTGATTTGTGACAAATACTGGTTGAAGAATGGGATGCGATCCCATAGCAGTGTGTGACCAACCTGGTAACCAGCATTAGCAGGAGATGCCAGGTTATTGTGGCTGCGTATGGTTCGTCCGCATGCTACTGAAGCCCGATTGTTAATTTACAAACTGCTAAATTGCCAACATGTCTTGTGTCTTCAAACCTCAATAATTCAACTCAATAAACGACACAAACAAGAGTAAAGAGCAGACTAAGTTTTGCATTGCCAGAGGAGATTTGGCAAGGTTTTCATGGGGGCAAACCACGTACTCAATACTTCTGCTCAAACCACAAAAGCATTTTTCTTACAAATATGGCAGCATTTAAGGGGAAATAAACAGGATTCCCAACAGTATGAAATATATAGTGTTACAACAAAGAAATAACTGAGCAAACACAAATTTCCTGACTTTTGTGATAAATTTGGAAGCAAATTAGAAGATAGCTGCAGGGGCGTAATTTCCAGGGGGGTTAGGGGTGTTATGACCCCCACCCCCCCACCCAATAATCAGACCCAACCAATATAACCCACCCAATAAAATTATGAATTATCTTGCATACATAGACAGTTTATTTTCTTTACTCATTTCAGTTATTATCTACAAAATAGTTGGATGTTTAATCATCTGGGAATTTACCCACATTTATTTATTTATTTAGACAGAGATCTTGACACCCCCCCCCCAAAAAATGCATGGAATGCATGGGTAAACACCTGGAATGAAATAATTTCCTCAAGTCCATACCTGATTGCTCTGTCTGAAAATTAAAAATTTCAGTCCAAGAAAATATTGCCTAAAATTTTCTTATTGAAAATTTGTCCTAATTCCTACACTGTGAAATAATTCCTAACAATACTAGAGTTTTACTTTTTTACTTCTTTTTAATGCTCCACCAATGTTTAAAAAAAATGAGGGCAATAATCTAGATAAGTAAATAGAAAACTAATAAGCTGATTTCTTTTAAATTACACAATTTATTTGCCACTTGTGCCAAAGCAGCAAGCAGTTATTTTGTTGGTATCACATTTAGGTGATGCCATGTTTAGGTTTACTATTTCATTTATTATGTTATGATATGGTGTGTGCTGCAAGGGGTTCATGGATGAATGGACATGAGGTATATGGTTTTGTTTCTGCATTGTACATGTACTAAGATGCATCGATAAATGTGGAATATGCATTTGTGGAAATCGCCATCGCCAAAAGGACTGAATAATGTCTCTTTTTCAACTACAATAATGAGTGATATAATGTTCGTAGATTATATATTTGATGACCTGGCTCTTTGACCTACTGAACCCGATGTGAATTTCAATTTTTAGTCAAAACACAAGAAACAGTCATGTTTCACTGGGTTAGGTATCACTGGGTTAATAATTATCCACACTGACCCAATGACTGAACCTGTACGCGAAGTTTTTCAGTTCACATATTGCTGTATTTCCCAGATTTATTTTGATGTTTAATCCATTTTGGTGCAATGCCACTATCAGTAGTTGATTAAATGCCCAAGTGAGGTCCAACATTAACAATAAAATTTTAAATGACGCAAGTAGTTAAGATGTTGTAACTGAAATGTGTGTTTGACGTTGGCATTGTCACAGAGGCTATTGACCCTTCCCATTAGAACGTGGAGGGCGTGAGAAGAGACGTAGTTAACCTTTTTGTGTCCTTGAAGCTGCTCCACTTGTGTGCCAAATCTGAGTGAATGTTTATTTCTTCTTCTTCTTCTTCCTGGTAAAATTGCAGTGTTATTTAGGAAATTTTTGCTTCTACTAGGGATGCACATTGACTCCATAGCTGATGGCAGTGGCTAATATTTAATCTGTAATCGGTGCATTCATTTTGCACTCACTTACTGTTCAAAGATGTGGGATTAGAAGGTGAAAGTACATTTTCAAATAGTTTTTTTAATGATAAATATTTTTTTCTTTCCCAGTACAACAGAAAAAATGAAGGGATATGAACATTAGCTGCCAGTCGAATCAATACTTCAAATAGCAGTATCAGCTAATCACCATCAGTCCATCATTATAAAACTGAGCTTAGTAAGTTGAATGGGAATTTTAAATCCTTTTTGATTGGTTTATAATTCAAGAAAGGAAAAAATTGTTGTGCTAGTACTACAAAGAAAAGCAAAGAAACATTATGAATATGTTTTTGAATGTTTTAATGCCGTGTTTGAAGTGTATGGCTAAACCACTCTTTCAGGAGGGAGCAAAAACTTGAGTCAGTTGCACAACACCTTGCTCACTTCAAACACACACCTCAGTACTGCCAGAGACAAGAAGTTACATCAGTTTTTTTGTCCTGTATTACGTGTATTTGACAAAAAGAAAGTTTCGTGTCCATCTCTGGGGTCTTTTTTTTTCCCACCGGTTTGTGCTAGTTGGTCTAAGCCAGATCCAGATACCTGTATGAACTCAGCAGACTGTTCCCACTCAGATATTTTATTGACCTTGTGCAATCTGTGCTGTCTCTGCAATAACTAACCAATGATCTTCCCAGTGCCAGTGAGAAAGGTTTCAGCTTTGAAGATTTTCACTTCATTACACTTTGGTTGTAAATCTAAATATGCTGGATGGTAATTTTTGTGACCAAATAATTTTTATGATTGATTCTTTTCTTTTTTTTTAAGACTAAAAATGTTTAAAAAATTAGTTGTGTATGTTGTGTACTGAAAGATTTTGCACATTTCTCATAACCTGTACTGTAACAGTTGAGAAACTTTATGAACAAAATGTATTTCTTATTCTATACATTCTTCAAACATGAAGCTTCTATACATTTTACTGCACTCATTGCCTGCTAAATACTATGAACTTCACTGTACATCACTTGTATAGATCTTATAATGTACATTTATGTATACGTCTGTGTGTGTGGTTATGCTGTATTATAGTCCGTGGATTTGAATTTGCTGTTGAAAATTATCCCGTAATTTGATTGTAAGAATTTGTAATTAAATGGGGAACCAATCTAAAACTGTTTTGCGTCATGTGTAATAGATGGATACATTAATAGAGTTCTGTGCGTATCATTATTGCTCCTTCTTCCCATTGCTCACTATTGTCACTCATTTGCACTCCTCTTCCTACTTAAAATAACACGAATTGAACTTTAGTCAAAGTCAAACCCATTTTGATTTTGGTAAACATGCTTCAGCTTGATAGCTTCCTTTTTTGGACTGGACTGAGAGAAAGAAAAAAAGAGTGTGTATAGTTACCCTCTCTGTATAAAAGTCTGTGCTCAGGTGATGCTTGCCCCACTTGAGAGGCACACCAAATCACCACAGGAAGATCAAGGTAAGCAAAAATAGACACTTTCTGCAATATAAAGCTTCCATATGTGTGTCGGGATTTTTAAATCAGCAATATTTCTAAGTGTGTCATGGGGTACAAAGGGTTTAAAATAGCTTGTGATTACTTGAATATAAGATGGTGTATTTCTTTTCATTTATTAACATAATTTTGCATTGTTATGATATTGTTATGATAACCATGCTCCAATGATATAATGACAAAATGGTAAATGGCCTGCATTTGTATAGCGCTTTACTCGGTCCCTAAGGACTCAGTCCCTAAGGACTTCACACACTGGCAATGGCAAGCTACGTTGTAGCCACAGCTGCCCTGGGGCATGCTTGAGGTCTTTCAAAGAACTTTGATGTCACCTTTGCTCTTCTGTTTCTGAGAAGAATGTTTTATGACAGATGCCAGGATTAGGAATTAGTAGAGTTCAGTCATGTAAAACATGGTTAAACCATCAATTGCTCTAAATTGTTGCAGTCACTACTTTAAATCAAGTAAACTAACTGAGGATTATTGGAAAGGGGTTGCCACGTGACCGTTTTCTCTTGCTCTGGTAAAAATCTCTCGAGCATTTTAAACGAGCTGGAAACAAATTTAAGCTTCATTCTTAAACAGGAAAACTGTTCAGTATTAATACAGTTTTCCATGCATGTTTTCTTTTGTATTTCTTTTTTAACATTAAGATCTTGTCACCTGAATATAGTGCAATTGACGATTTCCTTGGTTACAAATTTACATTTTCATACTTAATTTCACAAATGTTCAAAATTACAGGTACATTTTCCAACATCTGGTTGCAGGTCCATCATGGTGCACAGAGTAGCAGTGATCGGGGCAGGCCCCTCTGGTCTGACCAGCATAAAGGCTTGTCTGGAAGAAGGCATGGAGCCAACCTGCTTTGAAAGTAGTGACGACATGGGCGGACTGTGGAAATTCAAGGCAAGTCTACATTTAAGAAGACAAACATGTTGACAAGCAAACTGTTCGTGTGAAACTGAGTAAAATTCTTTGTTGTCTTTTAAAACTATTTCTCTGCAGGAAGTTTCGGAGCCCAACAGGGCTAGTATCTACCGGTCACTTACAATCAATATCTCAAAGGAGATGATGTGCTACAGTGACTTCCCCATTCCCTCTGATTATCCCAACTACATGCATCACTCTAAAATCCTGAACTACTTCCGAATGTATGCAGACCACTTTAAACTCCTAAAATACATTCGCTTCCAGGTAATAAAAACAAAGAAGAGTAGAATGAGAGAAAAGCACATTCTTCAAAACTGTTTTGGTGACATTTGGCAGATATCTGAAAACCTGAATCGGCCAACATTGTTATTTTTTAGACCTTAGTGAAAAGTGTGAGAAAAGCACCGGACTATTCTCGCACTGGCAGGTGGGAGGTGTTGACTGAAAAGAGAGATGGACATGAGGAGAGGCATGTCTTTGATGCAGTGATCTGCTGCTCTGGTCACTACACCTACCCTAACCTCCCACTCAAAGATTTCCCAGGTAAAATGTTTTGCATTTATCCTGAAAAGGCTTTGATTAAAATATGGCTGATTTTTAAAAAATCAACCCTTAAAAAAATAACTGTCTTGTTTTTATACCTTTTTGTGTTAGTCTTTTCATATGACACCTCTGTTATGTTGCAGGAATTGAGACATTTGAAGGAAAATATCTCCACAGCTGGGACTACAAAGGACCTGAAGACATGTATGGAAAAAGAGTGGTGGTAATCGGAATTGGAAACTCTGGAGGTGACATTGCTGTGGAAACCAGCAGAGTTGCAGAGCAGGTTGAAGAAAGCTTTTTCGTTCTTCTTATCTTCTTTTGATTAGAGATAGAAAAAAAACTCCTTCATGAGTTTTGGTGAATTCTGTCTTTCCCATTCTCCAGGTGTACATGAGCACTCGTCGTGGTGCTTGGCTCATCCGGCAAGTTTCCGACAATGGTGTGCCAGTTGACATGAAGTAC